GTGACTGAGAGTGTAATACCAGTAGCTACATTTCGCTGATGCACTAGTTCTGCACCGTTACCGAAAAAAATTTGCTTACAGAAGGAAATTAGACGAAGTTCGCAGAAAACAAGGCGCATCGTTTGATGAGAACTGGCGCAGTTGGAGCAAATTTTGTCTGTCGAGAGAATCGGCGGATATTATTGGACAATAGAATCGGTTGACCGGAGATGGCCCATTTCGGCATTGATACCCCGAAGAATAATGAAATTGCTTGTCAAGATTAAATGACTCGAACCTGAAAATTAAACCTTAACTTTGGTGAAATATAAATACTATGTTTTGCTGAAATTGCAAAACGTTTTCAATATTGACCTTGGTAGCACAATTTGATTTCTATCTATAAACTATGATTTTCTATACATGAGGAGAACCCTATAAACTGAAGAGTTTTTTAACGAGAAGCGGCATAGTCAGAAAATTTATTTCCGAGGAATATGAAGTAATTTCTATAAAGTATTTCTAGCAATTGTTTCAGGGATAAAAACTCTAAATGAAAACATGTTTGCCTACGACGATGTCGTCAATCTGGGTACTTCGTTGTTCTTCCTAATTCTCGACGTGCTTATAATCATGCTTCTCGTCCTATCCATGGATTACTTTCAACTGACACCAGCCATGATTCGTTTGCGTAAAGCCTCCGGGTATAAGCAAATGGTGAGTTTAGATCATTAGAATTACAACAGCAAAACTAATAAGGAAATTATGTTAAGTAGACCTAACTTTCTGAGATGGGATGGTATCAGAAAAGAGGGTTTGTGAAGATTATCCCGAATGTGTGTTCCAGAACTGTTAAATTGTCTCCGGGATAAAAAAAAACTTTATGAAGGTCAGATTTAACCGTAGATCTGACATGACTTAGAACACTAGCATTTTGAAAATGAGTTGAATGGATAAGCGACGCAACAGTAGGTCTCTTCTACCTCATGATAATGTACTCGTTTTCAATCTTCAAAGGTATCGCTTTTTCTACACTTGGTACAAATGTCCGCACTGGAAAAAGCAGGGACGGTATTGGGTACCCTTTGCAATGATATATTGCTTACTTTTTTGAAAGTTTGAAGGAAAAGGAACCTATTCACAATTCTTTTCTTACATTATTGATGTCTACGCTCTTCTCTTCTTAGTTTCTAAAAGAAAAAAGCCATGTATTTCTGTTACATATCAAATCTGGTTGGATAGATGAATCCTCACAAAGTACCGCAAATTGCTAAAATTATATTATTGCTAAAACTTTCTGGGAGTAATGGTACATCCATCATAAAAACCATATCCGTCCTCACTGGGGCCTTGATTCAGCGATACGATAGATGTGCGCAAGAACTTATCCTTAGAGAGACCATTAATCCTTGCTTTGTTTATCACAGTGCAGTTAATACTGTTCATTTGCGTACGTCAAGAAACCTCTAGCCCTCATTTGGGCAAATCTATCTGATC